TGACTTGACATATACTGTTGGGAATTGTTTACCTGCAGTAGAACCACAGGTAAGCCTATCTCTAGTCAGACTTAAACCACAACATTGTTGTGATTGTCACTGCCAAAGTGTCACCTTTTGATTGGGAGTGGCACTCTGCAAGTGACAGTTGTTTGCATGTCTGGTGCAGACCCTGAGAAGTATCTCTTTTTCCAGGGGTAATTCTATTCACCCACCACCACACCCACTGACCCAAACCCTGGCATTAATAAAACAAAACAAAAACTGTAAGATTTTCATATATTATATATTATTTTGAAGCTTTATTTTTTTTCCTCAAATTCCTGGGGATGATGTCAAGTGTAAATAAAATGTTGATCAATTAAGAGGCAATGTTTGCTCTACCCGCAAAATAAGTTGATTGTTAAAATGACACTTTTGAATCTTTCATCAAATAGCCAATAGTTTTTACAGGCATTGAAGTTTTGGTCTCTCTAAGACAATGGTTCCCATCTGATTTTGGGCCATGCCCCAGTTTGGTATTTGTAAAATTCTGTTCCCCCCTCCCCCATAATATTTAATTCTTATATATTCAAAATTTTCTTGCAATTCACGTGAAGGAAACTTATAAAGCCATTAACTTGGTCTCTAAACAAGCCTCCAAAGACCATGGTGTCCATGAAAGAGGAAAATTAAAAAAACAAATAGACATATATATATATATATATATATATATATATATATATATATATATATATATATAGTTTCAAAACATATAATAGAGAATTGAAAGGCAGAAATATAAAATATTTGAATGAAAGTTTATTCTGTAATATACTTTGATCATTTTAATCATGAAATAATAATGCAAAATGAAATTTGAGCTCACATTGTTATATTAAGCCCAAAGAGTGCACATCCTATGCATGCCCCACCAGTGGAGTATATGCATCCCATGTTGGGAATCATTGCTCTAAGAGAAATAAATGTCTCCTTTATAAAGGATGAAAAGTTCTCATCCCAACTATGACTGATGCCCTTTAACTCCAAATTCTGGTTTTTCCATGTGAATCCAGTGTTTATTTATTTTTTTTTTTTAATATTTTTTGCTTTTTTTTTTTTTTTATTTTTCTCAGTTTCCTGATGAAGCCTGTAAATTAAATTGGAATAAATTAAGACATCATATTACATTAATCTGATTGATCAAGCATCAGTTATATGATAATGGCTATTCAAATTTTATTTTCAATTTTCTTAAACTGTATTTATTTATTTATTTTTCTGTGATTTCTCCAATCAAAATATAATTTTGCCAGTAAATTCTTTGTTTAGAGGAACACATTTAGCTGATTGAGTTGTGATATCCAGATGATGTGTTTATTTTTTATGAACTTTAAAAAGCCACAATTGAGGATGAAATATATTGCATTAAATTTTGCATATTGATGAACAGCCAACAGCAAATTGATGAATTTGAATGCTGATCATCATCAAGTATGTTTTTTTTTTTTCTCTCCTCCTAGGGTAAAAATATCATGAATATGTGTTGTGAGATGAAAGTGACCCATGTTGTATACAGCGGCCTAGAAAGCACCATTCGTATCAGCGGTCTGGTTTGCGATCATTTTGATGGCAAAGCTGAAGTAGAAGAATACATGAAACATGCTGGTCTCAACAAATACACTGTCATACGGCTGCCGTGGTACTATGAAAATCTGTACGAGAACACTCCCCCTACGAAAGTTGAGGACAACAAGTTTAAACTGCGTATGTACATTTTTTTTCCATAGGATTTTGTCTGTTTAATTTTCTGAAGGTGAGAATTAGTGTGAAACTCCAGTGCCAACATGGTCACTAATAAAAAAGTTAGTACAACAGTTTTCTTCCTATTAACATAGTTGCAGTGTGTTTCCATGTTCAATGGAAAATGGATTTTAAATTGGTGCAAAAAAAGCTTTTTTTTTTTTTTTTTTTATTGGACTTGGAGTCTGTCTCCTGGATTTATGAAGTACACAAAAGCCAGAAAGAGTTTTAAATAATTTGTGGCTGTGAGGACAATGCAATGTCCATTTTTATTGTTGATCAATTAAGAGGCCGCTACATTTGCTTTACCTGAAAAGAAATTTGTTGTAAAGATGACACCTTTGAACCTATCATCAGATAGTCAACAGTTTTTACAGGAGGCCATTACATTTTTGTAGGTGTATTCTTTTTGTCCCCTAACCTGTCAGTGTTGTAGGGTCACTGTATGGTGACTTGTTCAGTAAGGAGCCTCTACTTGATCCAGTCCATTTCACAACATTGTCCTTCTCTTTGGCATCCTCCTATACCATTCCTTGTTGGGTGATTTTGGAGAGTCTTTGTGATCTGATTAGGAGGCCACACCACTTAAGCTTTTTTAATTATTCATTACCGCAAAAATTTATCATCTGTTATATATATATAGTGCGTTTATCTTTATACAGCAGCCCTTTAATAATAAATGATCATTAGTCAAGGAATTCTCTTTTTCTTTTTTTTTTTTTTTTTTTTTTTTAACTCAATTGTTTGATGAAAGTGTTTCAAAAGTTGAAATTTTCACCTTTTAACAACTCATTATTTAAGAAATTTACTTATAAATTGACTTTGATAAATTTATATCAGTTTGATATTTAGTTTTAAAATAAATTTTAAAATGAAGGATATTGGGTTGATCATTCTATGTGTTCCATTTTATAGGAGAACATTTTAAACATGTCAGTTTTAGGCAGACAAAGAAATAAAATGAATTAAATTTACTGAAGATTCTTTTTGTTCTTTCTTTCTTTTTGTTCTTTCTTTCTTTTTGTTCTTTCTTTCTTTTTGTTCTTTCTTTCTTTTTGTTCTTTCTTTCTTTTTGTTCTTTCTTTCTTTTTGTTCTTTCTTTCTTTTTGTTCTTTCTTTCTTTTTGTTTTCTTTCTTTTTTTTGTTCTTTCTTTCTTTTTGTTCTTTCTTTCTTTTTTTTCTTTCTTTCTTTTTGTTCTTTTCTTTTTTTTGTTCTTTTTTTCTTTTTGTTCTTTCTTTCTTTTTGTTCTTTCTTTCTTTTTGTTCTTTCTTTCTTTTTGTTCTTTCTTTCTTTTTGTTCTTTCTTTCTTTTTGTTCTTTCTTTCTTTTTGTTCTTTCTTTCTTTTTGTTCTTTCTTTCTTTTTGTTCTTTCTTTCTTTTCGTTCTTTCTTTCTTTTCGTTCTTTTTCGTTCTTTTTTTTTTCTTTTTTAAATAACTGCCAATTCAATGATGGAAATTAACTATTTTGCTTATAAACTCACAATTTATTGAGTTGACAATTTTTTATTGAAAAATAAACACTTGTGAGAGTTTTTTGTTATTCTTTGGCTATTTTATTTTTCTTTTCACTTCATTGACAGCAATTCCAATTGGTAATTCCTTGATGTATGGAATCAGCGTTGATGAGATTGGTCCATGTGTCCTGTCCATTTTCAAAGAATCTGAAAAATACCATGGCAAGACAATTGGTTTTGCAGCTGACCAATTCATGCTACATACTTGTTGCAAAATTCTTTCAAAACATCTGGCACCAGCAGAGTTTGTTCATGCACAGGTAAGATGATGATGATGATGATGATTCAGAAAATAATTTTCTATAGATTTACTTCCTGAAAACAACCTCTTTATTTTTACTAAATTTTCAAAACATAATCTGTATATATTTTCCACATTTATATTTCTACTTAGAAAGTATTGTCTTGTTATTCCAAACATTACCCCCACCCCGCCTCACCTCTGTGAGTGAGCCTATTTAAGAAAATTAAAATGAAGAAAAAAAATTTCCTTAATATTTTTCTTCTCTTTGCTTCGATTAAAACTGTCCCCAAAATTTCACCCCTCCCCCCCTAAAAAAAAAAAGAAAACAGTAATTATAAACATTTATAGAAATCAATATTACTTTTTGGTAATTTATTTTACTTCACATTTTTGTATCCATTTTGTAAAATTTTTAGTTGGGATGTTGTCTCTTCTGCTACCAAAAATGTTTACTTTACATTTTTCATGCAATGTTTTTTAAGTTTTTTATGAAATTCCATCAAAATCTCTGACCTTCAAAATAAATATATACAATGTATCCTACCTCAGATAACTTATTTGTTTGTCTATATTTTAAATTCATTAAAATGTAACTTGATTGTCATAAGATCTGATCATAGTAGGTGGTAGAAAAAAATGAAGATATTAGTTTAAAAAGAAAGTTTCTTTCATAAATGTACGAAAATCTATTGTTGATAGAAAAATTTGGAAAGTATCCTGACTTTTAACAGTAAGAGTAGAGGGGTATTCTGCAAGTAAAATCTACAACTAATACAATTATAGCCAGCCACCCATATTTGAGGATACCTCTCTACTAGGGTGGCTAGCCAATCCCTATTGCAGACGCTTGCTCAGGCATATTTGCGTTTATTCAACACCCACAGAGCCCACCTGTGGTTTATATTGCAACTATGTAGTCCCAGTTTCTGGGAAAAAGTGTGTTATCTCACTTTGGACAAGACCAGCATGCTCAAGCACTTGGCCATGATAACTTGCAACTTCATGCTAGCACAGCTATCAATGGCCCCAATTTCACTCACAAGGCTTGGGTCAACTTGTGATATGGTTTTCAGGCACTTTCAAAAGAAGCTGCATGCTGGGGTCAACCCCCTCCAGTCCGATAACATCAGGAAGTCTCCTTTCTGACAAATTGACCATGGTGAGATTTGAACCCGGGTCTCATGGTCAGAATGCGAACGTTCTAACCAACCGGCTGCATGCCCATATATTAATATGATTAAATTTAATGTAAAAAGCTTAGGTGGGATTTTACAAATAAGTTAAATGTACCTAAAGTGAAAAGTTTATATTTTGGCAATGTGCCCACAAAAATACAGTGTGTCAAAAAGGACAGTTTTTCTCTTGATGCTGCTATTACTGTATACACTCTTGACTCCCTCAGCAATGGTTATTGTTTTAAAAAGTGATGAATTTGAATAAAACCCAAACATATGAAAGCTTATGCCCATATCATGTTGAAACAATAGTTCCCATATGATCACTGAAGTTAAGCAATGTCAAGCCTGGTCAGTACCTAGATGGGTGACCCGCTTTGGAATACTGGCTGGTGTATTGGATAATGGCTTGGAATTGTTAACTGGAGAGTAGAGTTCCAATTCCAGTTGTGTTCATTATATTCACTTACACACAAATACTCTTGGGAAAGGTATGAATCTGCCTGTTCTCTCCCCCCCCCTATGGATTAATTAGTAAGACATATCACTAAATCATTATTATCTCCCAAAAATTCTTGCAATCTAAAAACATTTCCTGACTTCAAATAACCTGTAAAAAGGTTGATAAGCCATAAAAAAATGAATGAATCATAACTAAAATTATGAAAGTGGATTTATACTTTTTCTTTATTCTTCAGAATTGATAATAAAGATGTTAAACACTATTTATTAGATTATTTATTTACAAGAATAATTTTATATTTACAAGATTATAAAATTATGTGAAGCAACTATAATGAAATATTTCATCATCATTATTTGTTGACTACAGTCAGCATCATCAAGCCAATGTGAACAATCATTTTCTTTAGTTGTATAGTATGTGCTATGTCAGCGCTACATACAGTTTCAAATTCAGAGTTTTTCTTCGACTAGATTGGTTGCCACCCAAGGCTAATGAACTCTGTCTGTCCTGATATTTACCCATAATGTGGTGGGAGGAGATAGGAAAAGTATGAATCCTAAGGGTATTAGCACATAAGTGAATGTAATAGATCTGACTGGAATTCGAAATCAGCTCTCCAATTCCTCAATCCATTATCTGTTTTATAAAGAAATAAATATGAAAAGAAATTTTTTTTGTTTCTAAATTAAAAAGAAATTTAAATAAAGCATAATGATGAATATATTATAAATTTTGAAAAAAAAAATTTTGCAGCCATTTCTTTCTTTGGTTTTCACCACATAAATTCAAAAAAATTGGTTGACATCTCCTCTTCCTCTTACATATTTTGATAATTTTGTAAATTTTTATGAATTTTTTAATATAAACATTTCTATTTAAAGACATCTGTTTATAAAAGCTAAATAATAAATATTGCATTGTATCTGTTTCATATATTTTTAGAGTCTTGTAAATAAACATTACTGAGGGAGTCAAAAGTGTATACAGTAATAGTGGTGTCAAGGAAATAACTGCTTTTAACAAACCATTTTGTTTGCAGGCATTTGAAGGCCATACCAATATTTTTATAAAGTTTAAAGCCATTCTCTGAAGTGAGGTGATCAGTTAAAGAATTGCAGAGAATTTGAAGTTAGAAGAAGAAATTGATAAAGTTGGCAAGTACATTTGATTAAAGGCCTGATACTATTACGGGTAGAGTATCCTTTATCTGGAATTCCAAAATCCAAAAGTCTTTCAGGTGCTGACCTGACTTGCCACAAATGGAAAATTTCAGAAAGCACTGGAAATGTTCCTAGGTGATGTGCAGCTGTTGTAAGTGATCTCATCTACCCTCAGTTGAGGGTCCCCCCGCACCAGTTTCATTTTAGCAATTGTAACACCTGCATTCATGGATTACTTACTAGGTGTTTCATGCTCAGTAAAGATATTCAAAAAGTCCTGCATTTATATATTTTTTGTAAGTAGTAGTCATGTTTTCTTGTACATGTACAGAAAGTACAAAACATTATTTTTACATGAAATCCTAATTTCCCCACTTAAAAAAACTGTGTGAACATTACGTGACTAGTGTCATTACCTGTATCTATATGTACACAAAATTTATTACATTTTATATAAAACTACTTTCTGGGTTATATAAACCTATCTTCAGGGAATATGTCTAAGCAGTGTTATGAAATGTAAAAGGACGTTGTGTTTATGTTTGGCTTCCATTCCCAGACTTCCCAATTTTATAGATGCTACATACAAATTAAATCAGCTGTATTCTAAAATCTGACAACTGAAGCACTTGTGTTCACAAGAATTTCGGATAAAGGATTTTTCAACCTGTATTCCCTGTCTTCACTGACTCTGCTTTCCTTTTCCCCCGACATGTTCTGAAGAATAATACCTTAGAAAGTTAACTGACTGACTGTAGCTTAAGACAACACATCTTAATTGGGGAAAAGTTAATTCAACAGAATATCACAGATGAAACAAATATTTTTGTCTTATAAACAGGTGTTTTTTTTTTTTTTTTTTTTTTGAGTTCACCAGTTTTTGTTGCCTTTAATACAGAGTACAACCAACCAACCAACTTTGCCAAAAGACTTTCAGATCTAAACAAAACAAATGCAGACAGAGAGACCAGGGTAAGGACTTGTCTTCGTCTCTTTCTGCTTCTTTGCCATCTGAAAAACTTTATTACTTTCTCAAAATGAAATTTCCATTTTGAGATGTGCCATTCTTGGTATGTCTTCTCACATGTTTAATTAATTGTTTGCCAAGTAATTATTTCTGATCTCCCACAAAATACGTCCATTCAGTTTTAAGTCAAAGAAATCAATAATTCCTATTGCTACCTTTTCTGTACCCTTTTTGCCCAATCACTATAGAGTCTTACCTAGATTTGAAACAGATTCTCTGGATTCAGACATTGGCACGATGGCTCTCTTGCTGAATCTTAGACTAACTTGATCTTCAAAAAAGGTCAATGAGGCTCAGTTTTTGGTTTTGTCAGCTTTTATTTATATTTTGGTCTCTAATTTATTTTGTATCATTTTGCGTTTTATTAAAATATCTATGATTGTGTATCTTTTAGATTTCCTGCGATGATTACGAAGCCCAAGACATTCCTGGAATAAAGGAACTTGCCAATATGTTCCGTTATTATAAGCAGGCTCGATGTGAACGCAATATCGAGCAGTCTCGCATCCTGTATCCTTATCTTTCCACCCTTGATGAGTGGGTGGCGATGAATAAAGACAAACTACGCAAAGCATTTGAAGACGTTTCAGGCCAACACACAGGTTTGCCTTCATAATTCATTGTTATGCACATTTTTGAATTTCCGTAAATAGGAATTGGCAAAAATAAAATAGCAATTCGTTCTGATTTTACAACAATTGGACAATTTGAGTTTATTGTCTATGGTTGTAGAATTTAGAATGTTTCCCCAAGCAAATCTTTAATCTTTATCAAATTAATTTGTAGTGAAAGAGATAATCAGCTACCTCGAAAAAGTGTTCATGTTTTGTACGTGATCTGCCGAAATAGCTTGTGGTTGTAAAGAAAAGAAAAGACTGTCAACTTATAGTAGCAACAAACATCTGCAATAGATTTCTTCTGTACCACGGCCATCAACGAGATGAGGCCTCTTGGAGGACTAAGCTCCTCCTCAGGATATGGAGTCAGCCATCCATTGTCCGGCCACTCCAGCAATTTGGGCTGATATTCTTCCTTGGCGCATTCGGGCACTGAGTACTCTGACACTAGGTTCTGGAGCTTTTCTGGTGGGTTATTTTCTAACCATTTCCACAGTTTCGATCTATTCAACCACAGACTGTCCACTCGTATCACCAATGAATTTGGGGATCAATTTTATGTTGAACGGTCTTTCCGCCATCTTGCTAGAGATAAAGTAAGTGCCGAAATAGCTAGACGGCCCCGACGTGGAAAATGGTGCATTGACGGATGTGAATTTGACGTCTGGGTCGACGCGAGCTCCCTTGCAACAGGAGTGTCTCTTGAAATAGATGGAACTGTCGTGGAAGATGCGTGTTGGTTGCGTCCTGAAAAGGATACACAACATATCAACCTGTCAGAATTGGACTGTTACGACGGACTATCGTTTGAACTGTGATTTGGCTACAGGTGTTGCAGTCAAGAGACAGAAGAAATCTATTGCAGACGTTTGTTGCTACTATAAGTTGACAGACTTTTCTTTACAACCACATGCTATTTCGGCAGATCGCACAAAAAACACAAACTCTTTTTCAAGGTAGCTGATTATCTCTTTCACTACATAATTGTTTTGTCTGTGGGTTAAGATGAAGATCTTTGACAACCGTAGCACACACCAAAGCCGTTACTTAAAGCTGGAAGCATCTCACAAAATGCTGAGAAAGAAATACATCTTATTCATTCAGCAACTACAAGTTCAAAAGAGCACGAATTATAGATGCAAGGGGAAGCAACTCTTGCTTCGTAACATTTTATATTTCTAAACAGATTTTAGAATGCTCAATACAGACACAAATAATGATTAGAGATGGAAAAAAAAAACAATTCACTTTAACTCTCCACAATCAAACTGTGAATTTTTGATCTCAAACTCCAATTTCAATCATCATCAGAGCTGTTTCAACTTGAAGGCACCCCCCCGCTCATCAGTGTATAATTTTCTTATCTTCATCATCTTTGTAAATATGTTTTCTAGATCCTCTCCATATTTCTCTGTCCTTTGTTGACTCATATGCAAGTGCTGCACATCTTCCAAGCTCTTCAAAGTTTTTACGGGGAATGATGGACTTTTATGTTTTTAATGTTTGTGTTGAATTTGTTGTACATCCAATTTCTTCCATTTTATTGTTGACAAAACCATTTCCATAATATTTACAAAGCTATTCACTTGTCCAATATTTTAACATCAAGTCTTTTAATTTTTAATTTCTTGGAGATACATCATCATAATATCGATCAACATTCCGCGCCAATAATTCCTGCATTTTTTTTTTTTTTGCAAGTCCTCTAACATTAAATGTCCTGATAGTAAAATTTTTATATACAATTGGAGGCATTTACAAAATTTTAAAAGTCATTACATTCTCTATCAAAATTCCAATCAGTTCACTGAACTAAAAATAAATTGTGTTCAAAAACGCAATTTTTTAACTGCCACAAAATCATTTCAAGGAATTTACCATTTATAAATGAAAACATTTTATGAAGAAATTCATTTTGAATTATTTTCATCCAAGGAACAGAGGCTGATTTTAAATCATTCTTTATTTTTCTCTATTTACTGCTTTATGAAAACTTTGGCAGTACTTTTTATGACAGGTTGACATTTTCCTTCCAAATTCATTATTGTTTCCGATGGATTGGAGGACCACGTTTGACACCAAATAAAAGACTCTTTGTTGTCAAAGTTAGAAGAACCTGCCATGTTT